AGAGTGCAGGATTGGGCCCAAAACTTCCCGCCCCTGGGAAATATATATATCTCCACTCCTAGCACATCTCAGCAACATCTGTCATATTCTCCCAATAGTGTCACAAGGGGCCTGAAGTCTCTCTCACTGACCTCTTGTTCTTTAAATACTTGGGAACTTTTTTCTTGTTTATTTTTGTGTCTTTTACAATTTTTCACTTCTGTCTATGGTATCCCGATGATTCTTACATTGCTTTTACTTTAGATATACTGTGTATTTTCTCAATAGCAATCACATTACTGATTTGATTTTTTTTAGCTTATACTCCTTTGCAATTTGGGTCTTAGATATGGGTCTAAGTGCTTAGGTCACACAGAAAGTCTGTAGGAACACAGGGAAATCTCCTGAATCCACATCCTCACTATTTTACACTGGATGACTGAATAAGATATATTTGTTTTCAGTACCCTACATTTTCTTCCAACACCTCAAAGAAAAGCCCCTGTTCCTTCTCCAGGTAATGCAGCAGCTATTTTTTTCTGCAAAATACTGTTGTATAATTAGTATTTATTTTAAGAATGTAACACCCTTTTAATACCTAGATTGTAAGTATAATATGCATATTACAGTTAACTGTTTAATTTCTACCAAAATACATATTCTTATTGCACTACTGGTGTACACAGACTTGTTCAGTTGGTGAGCTGTGGCAATCAAGTAACTGGTTCCCAGCCCCAAAGGGCTTACATTGAGTCACAACCTGATATTATACAGAATACTAAATACATAACAGAATAGCAGGCAGTATTGTAGTTGAAGAATAAATGAGCTTTAAGGATATTTTTTTAGCTAGATCTTTCAAATTATAATGTTTAAGAATACTTTCTAATTAACTTTTTAAGCTCACATCTTTAGGTAAAGAAAGAGTTGTAAATTGAATATATTCCTCCATTTGGTTCTACAAGTGCATATTTTTCTAACCTTTCATTAGTTTCCAGTAGAAAGTAGCCTGGAGAGCTATTTGACCTCTTTATGTGCCCGAGAATTCCTTTATCCTTGTGACAAAGTGAAGCAGCAGCCTTCAAAGGTTTACAAGATCCCAGCCTATCACGTAGCTGGGTGGGGTATATAAGAAAAAGAAAGCTAAGCAGAAGGGAGTGTTCTTTTTTTTTTTTTTGGCAGGTGGAGGGAGGCTGTGCCTCTGGGGCATATAGTCAGCATTTGTCAGAGTTTCTCTTTGTTGCAATTAACTGAAGTACCTATGCTCCAGTTGCCTGGCTCAAGTGAGAATAGCTACATTGCAAAATAATACACAAGCTGTTGTGTCCACACTGGTGCTGCACCCCCTTGTGTGTGCTGCTAGTGTTTCTGGGGAGTTGTCCCATGGATCTTTGCATTGCAGTAAGCAGAGCCACTTCATGAATTCTTTCCCAGGGAATTGTGGGAGAATGTCTGTCCTTTCTGGGCAGATGGTAGGAATTGTAGGAAGGGATTGGAGGCCTAGAGGCACTAGAGTGAAGTTAGCTTGTGTCCACATTGCAGAGTGGTCATGTTAGCCACTGATGAGCTGTGATAACTTGAGCTTTAGATTAAACATCCTCCAGTTCAGAGTTTGTCTGTGTGTGTGGATGGGACTCAAATTAGGGGCAACACTCAAGTTAACTTTGCAGTGAAGACAATCTCTTAATTGTGTTGTTTTATTATGGTGCGGTTTAAGTCCTTTGTTTCAAACAATAAATCATGCCCTAGGGCAAAGGCTTTAAAAAGACTTGGGCATGGTATTTGCATCCCTTCTCTGGCTGGTGAAACTGCCCACCAATATACAGTTCTGTTAGTTCTGGACACTGGATGCTCTATTCACATGGGTCATATGGGGTTTACCAAAGGAATTAACTTCAGTAAGAGACTGCTTGGCAGTAGCTTGCGTCTCAGCTACAACTCCGAGGGGGCATTTAAGGAAGCTAAGAAGCTCCCACATCTTCAGTATGCCTTCCCTGAGGGAGGCTGTGGGATGCCTGATTCCTTTGTCCTGAGTTGTGATATTTATGAAGAAGCCCAATAGTGGTGGTCAATTTCCTTTAGCCTATGTCTACACCGCAACTTGGAGCACGCCTCCCAGCCCAAGTAGATAGACTTGTGCTAGCAGTGCTCAAGTCAGCATGCTAAAAATATCAGCAGGGCAGCACTAAGGGAGGCTACTGAGAGCAATAGTCACCCCAAAATTTTCATTAGCCCCTCCATAGCCACCCCGTAGCAGCTGCTGTTCTGCAGCTGCCCAACTCTGAAGGCAGAGCAGAGAGAGTGGCAGCTGCTGGCTGGGCGCAGACCTCCAGCAGCAACGGAGAAGTACACCCGGGCGGGAGGCTGGGGTCCCTGAGAGCAGCCCTCAGTCTGTGTCCCCGCCTGCCAGGGTGCATCGTCCAGGGTCCAGGACTCCCCACAGTGGCGTGGACTGACCCACTCTGTCCCAGGCTACTGGGCCCTCTCCCCATGGTCGCTGATTCCCAAGGGCTCTGCTGGCCCTGAAGCTGGATCCCTCTACCCAGGCAGGTCTTTTCAGCTGTGAGCAGCCAGCACCCTGCACTGCCTCACTTCAGCTTCCAGCCTCTGACCTGGGCAGGGGAAAGGGCCATGAAGGGGGTGGGGCCATGGAGGGGGTGAAGTCTCATGGTGGGGGAAGCACAGCCCCCCCTGAATTTTCTGTCTGGCCCATCCCAGCCCCCCCCCCCCACCGGGAAGAGGCTGGTGCCACCCCTGAATATCTGAGTGGATGTTGTGACTCCAGTTGCAGCTTGTTCCCTGTAGGCTTGAGAGCCCAAGCCCCAAGGTCCATACTGCTATTTTGAATGGGCTAGCTCAAGCCAAGCCCCACTAGTGCAAGGGGGGAGGGATAGCTCAGTGGTTTGAGCATTGGCCTGCTAAACCCAGGGTTGTGAGTTCAATGCTTGAGGGGGGCCACTTGGGGATCTGGGGCAAAATCAGTACTTGGTCCTGCTATTGAAGGCAGGGGGCTGGACTCGATGACCTTTCAAGGTCCCTTCCAGTTCTAGGAGATGGGATATCTCCATTAATTATAATTATAAGTCAGTCTACATGGGCGTTGGGGAGAGGCTCGCTCTCAGGTGCAGTGTAGACATACCCTGCAGTGATCTTAGCAGGGTGACCAGAGGGTAAGTGTTAAAAATCGGGACATGGTGTGAGGGGTATTAGGTGCCTATATAAGAAAAAGCCCCCAAAATCGGAACGGTCCCTATAAAATCGGGACATCTGGTCACCCTAGATCTTAGGCATGTCTGTGACTGACTCAGTTCTTAATAAGACAAAGTCTAGGAAGGAAGCAAAACGTGGAGACAGCAGGAGCGATCAGAATTTTTTCTTCTCACCCACTTTCCTGCTGTGCCAATCAATAAGAGAAGTATGTTTAGGGAAATCCCGATCTTCCTGTCTGCAAGAACACAAGTATTAAAGGAAATGATTCTGGAGCAATGCCAATGGTAAGTGAGCATGGACCATTCAATTAAATAAAATCAATCCTACAAAAATCTTATTTGTAGAGAGGCTCAACTGCACTCCTCATTGTTCCATTTTCCCAAATATCAAATCTGACATCCAGTTTATAGATACAACCTATTTATAGATATTTTTATGTGCTCATCGCCATGGGGAGTGCCTCAATGCTTATCTAAACATATTCTCGAGAGTTGAAAATCTGATTCTGTGGTGATATGCAACACAGCATTGCTTGGAAATTAAACAATTCACCATTTTAAAGGGAAAAACTGATTCCCGCCCCCTCCAATTATTTCCAAATCTGATATATGTGTCTTTTAAACAACTCATTCTCCTGCCATACTTGGGTCAATATGGATTAAGATTGCTAATGTTTTAAATTATCTTGGTTCACCTCCTTTGTTTCCTATTAATAACATTTCCGCTTTTTTGCCAAAGCAGGGAGGGATTGGCTAGATTAAGCAGCTTCCCTCTAAGCATGCTAGCTTTTGTGGATTGCTTTCCTATCTCTCCCCATTTATTGCATAGGGAACCTGGGCACCTAACTCAGGGTCTGTGTATTGCAGTGTTGTTTTTTGTGATTTTGTAGGTGTCTAAAAGGTGCCATTATGTTCAGTGTTGCAATGACTAAGTCCCTTTGTGGATCAGGTCAAATTGTTTAGACACGTGGTGGTACATATGCCATCAAATCTAGTTTATACATTATATGCAAACTCTAGAAAGAAATTGACATGTATGCTTATGTTCACTCCATACACATACATGCTGGCTCAGAGCCTGATCCCATTGAAAAATATTGGTTACATGGCAAATCCCCCATTGACTTCAAAGGGACCTGAATTTGTACTACTGTATACACATACTGTGCACATTTGAATAGTACACACACATCTACACATCTTGTTCAACAACACTGCATGATTTTGTTTTAGACATGTCTGTCCCAGCATATTAGAGAGATACGCTGGGGGCTGTAATATCTTTTACTGGATCAACAACAGAATAACAGAAGTTGGTCCAATAAAATATATTACCTCCCCCACCTTGTCTGAAACAAAAGTAAACACACATCCCATTGAGTGCACACAGTCCCATACATCCAGTTCCCCTCACAGTTAAACATGTCCTAATATACACAAGGCCAAATACACACAATTTGTTACACTTGTGTGATTGTGTGTGTATTGGGGTATGTACAGTTTTAAACACACAATTATACACACTTGTAAACACACATACTTCCTGATACACAATAAATTGACTATATAACCATCTTATCACACACGTAATTAACACTCCCTAGACCATACAGACACACACACACATACATTGCCGTTACCCACAGTTACTTGCACAAACATCTTGTTACAGACCGTTACAGCATGCACACAGAATGAAACACACAACTATCCTGCTGTACACACACACTCACACACCGCCTTTGTTGCATACACATACGTCACAGACACATGCTGGGAAACCACAGGCTGAACCCCCCCCGTCACAGTCACAGTCACACGTCTCCGGCCCGGCTTTTCCAGCATTGCTCAGCCTGGGCTGGAGAAACAGACAACTCATCCCGACCCGCAGGGCCAGGAAGTGCCCCGCCTCTCCCCAGACACCGCCGCGCCTCTGTGCATTGTCCCACGGTGGCGGTGGGAACAGCCAGCCCAGCCCAGCAGCAGGCGGAGAAGGCAGCGGGGACGGGGACGCAGGGAGACCAGAGCCCCCAGCCGGTACCGACCCGAGAGGCGCAGCAGCAGCAGCAGCATCCCTCACCTGCCGCAAGTGCGCGACCCTTCTCCTGCCCTTCTCCGCACGGCGCAGGCTGCGAGAGGGGGCCAGGCAGAGCCGCTGCAGCAGTGCTGGGGCGGGGCTACGGGCCTCCCCGGGGCCAGGAGGACGGGAGGAGCCCGAGCTGCAGCGGCGGCGGGGCTGGGCGATGCCAGGAAGGGGCACTGAGGGCATAGAGCAAGGTGCTTACGGCGCTAGGTTTCCTGGAACCGGAGCGAGGGAGGAGTGTAAAGTATCCGTGCCGTTGCTAAGGGCATGCTGCTAGCAGGCTTCCTGCCGCTCCCTAGTCCCGGAGCTTGGTCCAGCAGCAGCAGCACTCCTCTCTGCCCTCCTCTGCCAGAGACCTGACTCCCCTGTTTCTTTTCCAGCTTGAAAACCCGTGCAATAGCTTGTGCCATTCAAATACGATTGAGAGCGACGGGAACTGGGCAGCCGCTGGAGTTCAGCTTCTCCTTCCCAGCAAGGTAGGTTACAGCTGAGGCAACTGAAGCCAAGCAATGCCCTCCTTTAACTGTGCAGAGAGATGCGTAGTGTGTCGATTGCTATTGTGCCCAATATACGGCATTTCTAGTTAAAATTCCAGTACTGGAAGCCCTTTGTGGGAACTGGGATTTCATTTATTTGTCTTTCTTGACTATAACAGCGTTTAAAAGAGAACTGGATAAATTCATGGAGGTTAAGTCCATTAATGGCTATTAGCCATGATGGGTAAGGAATGGTGTCCCTAGCCTCTGTCTGTCAGAGGGTGGAGATGGATGGCAGGAGAAAGATCACTTGATCATTGCCTGTTAGGTTCACTTCCTCTGGGGCACCTGGCATTGGTCACTGTCGGTAGACAGGATACTGGGCTAGATGGACCTTTGGTCTGACCCAGTGTGGCCGTTCTTATGTTCCTCCCCTTGCTGATGAGGAAACGAATCTTAAAACCAACAGCATTGTACTGTTCTTTTATGAAATGCCAGAATTTTTGCTGGTACTGGTAGAGAGCTTTATGGGGTCAGATCTTTGGCCCGAGAGGTAGTTTTTCTTTGGAGCAAAGTATACCCATGTTTCACAATTAGACTAACGGATCAGCTACAGGTTCCTCCTTATACATGTGAAGAAACCCATACTGAACTGTCATTATATGAGTGATATGTAAGTATGCATACAATATGAAGGGAAAGCCTGTGCAGAAGTGCTGTATAATGGAAGCAATCACTTAAGGATGAGGAAAAATATGCTCATACTGCAAATTGAGGGCCTAACCAACTCCGGTTAATGTCAGCAGGAGTCATTCCAATGAGTTTAATAGGAGATGGATCAGAACCTGAGTATTAGCTCCTACTTTAAAAAAAGACTAGTAAGACATTAATCAAAGAAAGCCACAGTAAAAATTATGGGCTTTGCATAGTTGTAAAATAGTAATCATCAGATCTGAACACTGATTAAAATAGGGAATCTACTTCTAGGTTTGAAATTTGCACCTGTTTTGTACTATATACTGTGTACCTTCTTCAGAAAACAATAATTTCTTAACACCTATCTAATGGCATTGGTATCATAGAAAAGGAAGATTGTTAAAATAGTTTCCATGGCTATCATAAATGGAAATTTTTCTTTTAAGTAATGTTTTCTATTTTAGTAGATTTTATTAATCTATGTATCTAGCGATCTATAACACACTAGCGTATTAAAGTGAATATTGATTCCTTAGTAAAGAGGATTAAAGCTCCAAAATTAAAAGTCCTGAAAATAATGTAAATAGTTGAAAATTTACTTCAAAAATCATTTAATCATTCATCAGTTTAGGCACTAAACAGGATGTGAAAGACTCCTTCTCCATCTGGGATCAAATGCAGCCTGTATATTAGTTATACAATTATACATTCTTATTATTGGAAATAATATAATTCCAGTTCTCTCACATACTTGGATCAATAATTGCCTAAGAATTGTAGCATGATTTTATGCAAACATTAACCCATTTAACAATTATGTTCTTCCTCTATTAAGTACTTGTAATGATGCCTGATTATAATCACAGAGGCAAGTCCATGGAGTTGGACCAATGTAACTGGTGATGAAATTTGACCCAGTACTTTTATAGTTTACTGCAACGTCTCTATACATTTAATATAGTTTCTTTTGATAAAGCTGATTACCCTAAATAAAGGAAAAACCCTTCCTCTAAGCATCAGCACATTTCCAATTCTCAGTAACTTGTTATGAGCGGGGTGAAACCTGTTATAAGTTGAGTTAAAACCCCAGTTAACATAGACTCATA